CCAAAAAAAAAAAAAAATTGACCTGTTTCCAGCCAGTGTTGCTTCCACCTGAACAACCAGGCAGCAGCGACCTTCTGCGCTGCAGCCTCCGCCCTGCGTCCCTCTTCCCCTCCCCGGTGGGGGTGCACTGGTGTGGCCCAGGGTTTTGGCTGCATGTTCCCTCGCAATGCTCTCGGGCACACCTTGCACTGACTGTTGTCCGGGGATACTCTTTTTTTCTCATCACTGCGGTGCAGATAACTCTTTAAACTGCCTAACAGCTGACTCTCAGGCCAAGTTCATCGACTGAATAAAACGATGACTGAAGCCTCCAGCGGAGACCCCGTGGGCGTGGGCATGGGCGGGGCCGGTCCAGTGGGTGATGGCGGCAGCGTTCCCGCCCCCAGGCCACGCGGCGGGCAGAGCAGGGCCCTAACGGCCCCAGACCCTAACGGTCCCACCCGTCCCAGGTCGCACGGGCTGCAGGTCGCACGGGATCCCCACTGCTCCGCGGGGCTCGCTCCAGGCGCTGGCGGGAAGGCGGGAGACAAGGTGCGTGGTCCCAGCTGGCGCGGGTTTGGGGGACCGGATCTAGCTGTGTAGCCCCGGCCGGCCTCAGACTCGCGGTGATCCTCCTGCCTCAGCCTACTGAGTGCGTATATTTATAATAACATAGAAAAGGCAAAAAGGGATCAGTGCTTTTTTGTCTTTGTTTTTTGGTGCCCAGGACTTTTGCACTGAGGTACATTTACAGCCCTTTTAAAACATTTACTTATTATTTAATTTTTGAGACAGGGCTTAGCTAAATTTGCTAAATTGCCTAGGGTGGGCTTGAACTTGCTAAGCACCTCCTTCAGCCTCCCAGAGCGTTAGGATTACAGGCCTACACCACCAGGCCTGCTTTGCTTTTGTGTTTCCCAAATGAGAATGGCCTAAAAGACAAGCACAGCTGGCAGAGAAGAAAGGCAGCGGGGTTGGGGAGGTGGCCTCCGGGGCCAGGCTGCCCTGCTTCGGCCTCTCCTGGCACTACAGCAGTCTCAACAGCGCATCCCCTGCTCTCAGCCCGCAGCCAAGGCGGAGACATGCTGGAGGGGCGCGGCCTCCACCGCGAGGCTGGGGTGGCTGGGGTCGGGGTCGTCCCCAGCGTGAGCCCGCAGTCCGGCTGCGGTGAAGGCACAGGAAGCGGCTGTGTCAGATGTGGTAAAATAGGCCACATGAAATCACAGATTCAGCCGGGCGCGGTGGTGCACGCCAGTGACCCCAGCACTCGGGAGGCTGAGACAGGAGCATCGCCGCGAGTTCGAGGCCAGCCTGAACTGCATAGCGAGCCCCCTCTCAACAGACAAACTCACAGATTTGTGTGGCGGCAGAGAGAGAAGCTGTCCCAGTGGATCCAAGAGCCGGGTCTCGGGCCGAGGAGGGTGGAGGCACGGCCTCACCGTGCTCAGCCTGTCTTTTCCTCTTTCTCCCCAGAACCCTTAACCTGACTAAAACTCTTGCCCCCAGCTAGTGAACAGGTGGAAAGAGCTGTAGTGATGTCCCCAGACCTGAGCTCATCTAAGATACCACAGAATAGTATGCGATTTTACCCTTCACGAGTACTTGTTGGAGTGCTCCCCACACTCTGGGTGGCTGAGGCGGGAGGATCCCAAATTCAAGCCCACCCTGCACAACTTAGTGACTTTGGGAGACCCTGTCTCAAAATGAAAAAATAAAAACACGACCGGGGATGTAACCTGCCACGGAGGCCCTGGGTTCCATCTCCAGTATCACAGCCGCGCACACACAGAGAAACAGACACACAGAGTGACTAAATGACCTGCCCATGACCGCCCTACAGGAAGCTGTGCTTGCCGAGGAAGCGTGGGAGAGTCGTTCATTCACAACGCCCGAGAAAAGGGAGGGTAAGAAGATGGCAAAGAAACACAGAGTGAGTACCAGAGCGGGGTCGGAGGGCCCACGCTGCCCGTGCCGTCCTACAGGCGCGCGGCGGCGGGGAGACCACGGTAGGGAGCCCGCCGATGCTCCCGCGTGTCTACGATGCACAACTACTTAGTAATTTTGTTTGTCTTCTTGAGACGGTCGGTCTCGCTTTGCAGTGCAGGCTGACCGTGAACTGTGTAGCCCAGGCTGGCCTGGAACTTGCAGCGATCCTCCTGCCTCAGCCTCCCCGGGTGCTGGGGTTACAAGCGTGCGCCGCACCACATCCGGCTCTAGTAGTTGACATTTATGCGACTTAGTGCTTAATGTGTATTATCTAGAATAATAAGAACGGTCAGATAGGCATGTTCCGCATTATAGTCGCCAACAGGGCTCGGTACTGATGATACCAGCCGGCTTGGAGGGAATCTGGGGAAAGGGCCAGACCTACGCCTCAGTGCAGACGCGTCTGGGGTGGGCGGAGCAGCGCCCCCTGCCGGCGAGATTCCTCGGTACCGCAGCCGGGGCCGCCCGAGGCCGGAGCCGGAGAGTCGCTACCGACTCTCCCGGGTTCGCTGGCATCTCGAACGCTAACTCAGGCTGTGACGTTTCTTCCTGAACATGTGAATTGTCATCTTTAAGGAAGCTGCGCCCTGGGAGAAGGGAAGCAACGCTCCTCCTTTAACGTATTTTCCAAAAAGGGCGTCTTTGTCAGAAGAGAACAAGTCAGCGCTTTTAAAAGGTGTTACCGGGGCTGGGGATTTAGCTCAGCGGCACAGCGCCTGTCTGGCAATTGCAAGGTCGTGAGTTTGATTCCCGGTACCGGAAAAATAAAAATAAAAATAAAAGGCGATACCATGGCGTGGCAGCTGTGAGGACAGCTTGGATTGACGGTAGAGGAAGCCAGAGGCACTGTAAGAACACGGCATCACATGGAGAAACTGGAGTAATCTTGTTGTTGTTACTGGGAAGGAATTGAACTCAGGGCTCTCACACTGAACTATGTCCTCCTAACCGCTTTTTATTTTTGTTTTTGGTGTTTGTGTTTGGGAGACAGGGTCTCGATATGTAGTTCAGACTGGCTTTGAACTTGTGGCAGTCCTCCTGCCTCAGCCTCCCAAGTGCTGGGACTATAGGTGTGTGCCACCACACCTGGCTAGCCTTTCTTTTCAATTTGAGACAGTTTTGTGGTTTTTTTTTTTTTTTTTTTTGATAAATCACTCAGTTGCCCAGGTTGGACTCACACTTGTTGTCCTCCTGCCTCAGCCTCCGGAGTGCTGGGATTACAGGCGTGCGCCGCCATGCCCAGGGGGGGAGTCCCTTCACTTTTTCCCTAGCCAAGCACAAAGCTGCCATGTCTTCGGCCTGCATCATTTCCCCATCAAGCTTTCCCTGGGGCGGACAGTGGCCGCTGCTCACCCTATTACTTAGTTGTTTGTTTGTTTTGAGAAAGGGTCTCACTGTGTAGTTTAGGCTGATGTTGAAGTCACTGTGTACCCCGGGCTGGCCTTAAGCTTTTGTAGCAATCCTGCTACCTGAGCCTCCCAAGTTCTGGGATTTTTTTTGTTGTTGTTGTTTTGTTTTGTTTTGGGGTTTTTTGTCTTTTTGAGGCAGGGTCTCCGCTAAGCAGTTCAGGCTGGCCTTGAGCTCACTTTGTAGCCCAGGCTGGTCTCGAACTCCCAACAATCCTCCTGCCTCAACCTCCAAAGTGCTGGGATTACAAGCATGCACCACCACGCCCGGCCAAATTCTGGGATTAAAAAAAAAAAATCCACTGGAGGCTGAGGTACGAAGATCACAGCAAATTCGAGGCCAATGTGGGCTACAGAGTGTGACCCTGTCTCAAAAAAACAAGAAACAAACAACAACAAAAAAAAAAACATTGCATGAAAACAGGTAACATATTATTTACCCACTGGATTTCAGTTCAGGTGGAAGAGGGGATCAGGATGGAACGCAGATTTAGAATAAAACCCCAAAGACTGTTAGACATCCCTGTTCTTTAGCCCTGTGCAGTTTACTCCATTTAACATGTTGGGGAATTCTTATAAAAGTAAGCAGTGTACTTCCCATAGGACCAGCAATTGCATTTGTGGGTATTTATCCCAGAGAAATGAAAACATGGTCGCACAGAAGCCTTCTATGTACAAACATTACCATATTCATGGCAGTTTTATGTGTCCAAACCTAAATCTCAGCAGAGCCCTGTGAACCTATGAATATTCATAGCGACTTCGGCATGGCCCCAAACTACAAGCCGCCTGGAAGCCTTTGACAGGCGAGCTGTGTGTGGAGCCCGCTGCTGCACTGTCCCTACGGTCCCTACCGTAGAGTGCGGCTCAGAAGAAGGGAGGGACGTGTTCCGGAAGCGCACGCGCACCAGCTTGGATGGATTCCAGGAACCGCGCTGAATGAAAGGCGCTAGCCCCCAAGGTTAGGTGCCCACCGATCCCAGGATCTGTAAAGCGACAGAGTTATAGAGACAGAGGGCGGACGAGTGGCTGGGGCCGGGGAGGGGACGCTGCCTCCTCCGATGGGCGGTGCAATGTCGTGACTGCGGTGGGCGTCACATGGGTCTCCACGCGCCCAGCGGCGCAGAACCGAGCGCGCGCACGTGACACTGCGGGACCCCGCGCTCCAGGTGGGGTGACGTCACACCCACCCCCGCTGTCCGCGGGTGGATCGCTGCCTGTGCTGGGAGGGGCCCGAGCGCCGAGACAGGATGAGCACCGCACGCACGGCTTGTTTTGGCTGCAGAGGGCAGTGAGTCACAGCCCAGGGCACGCCAACGAATTAATTCTAGCTCGAGTGTCAAGTACCAAAGGAATGAGAAGCACCGGGACCGCGCTTTGCAGCCACACGCATGAGTACCACACCGCGGGGGTTTCAGGCCCTCGACGCAGCAGGCTGTTACGAAGGACGCTGCCCGTAGGGAGATGAGGTGCAGACACTGGGGGGTCTCTGCCGTATTTGTTGTTCTTGTGACTGATAGGAATCTACAGTGAGCTCAAAAATAGCTCTAAAAAGTTAGGAAAGCCGGGTGTGGTGGCACACGCCTCTCATCCCAGCACTCCGGAGGCTGAGGCAGGAGGATCACTGCAAGTTCGAGACCAGCCTGGGCTACAAAGTGAGCTCAAGGCCAGCCTGAACTGCACAGCGAGACCCTGTCTCAAAAAGACAAAAATAAATTTAAAAATAAAATAAGATAAATAAAAAAGTTAGGGAGAATAAAACCGTGCAGCCTGGTGCGGAGGTGGCTGTGAGCCCATCCCGTGGCCCCTGTCGTCCCTGATTCTACATGACTCGGGGATGGCAGAGATGTTGACTAATAAGATTTTTGAGAAATAAGGTTTTTAAAAACTTTTTTGGTGGTACCGGGGATTGAAACCAGGGCTTTGGGCCGGGGATATAGCTCAGCGGCACAAGCACCTGCCAAGCAAATGCAAGGTCCTGAGTTCGATCCCTGGTACCGCAAAAAAATAATAATAATAATAATTAATACCAAAAAAAAAAAAGAAAGAAAGAAAAAAATCAGGGCCCCTGCCCTGAGCTACGTCCCCGACCAGTTCGGCCCGCTGTCTGCCTGTTTGCACACTGGGTCGTCCTGAGCCGCCCGGGCGAGGCTCAGACTCCACCCTCCCGCCACCAGGCTGTGCCGCCGGCCCGGCCCCCTCTGCTTGTGTAAGAAGTCACTGGCTGCTGGCTGGAGACTGGCCGGTGGGGCAAGCAGAGGCGGAGGGGAGAGGTCAGGGTAGGGACCGGGGCAGCGGTGGCGACTGGGTGACCCGCACCCATGTGGCCGCCGAGGGCAGAGGAGGGGCGGGTGGAGCCGGCAGGACTTGCCGCTGGTCGCGCGGGGCGAAGGGAACGCATGGGGCCAGGGAGACAGCGTGGGGCCGGGCAGAACCCGTCCCGGCCGCGTCCCGGCAGAGACGTCCAGTCTGCAGCTAGGAGATAAGGCTGTGTTGTGGAGAGATCTGATGTGGGAGACACGAGACGGCCGTGACCTTGAGGAGTATGTGCAAGAAAAGCGTTGAGAGAGTTGGACTCGGAGGCCATACCAGCACGCAGAGATGGGGCAAAGGCAGGAGATAAAGCAGACACCAGCATCCACTGCTGTATCCACAGCCTAGCAAGCTGGGCGTGGCAGCGCACACCTGTGATCCTGGCACTGGGGGGGCTGAGGCAGGAGGATCGCTGTGCATTCGAGCCCAGCCTGCACTACATAGAGAGAACCTGTCTCAAAAAACAACAAAAATGAAATAAAAAATAAAATCCTTGTTAAGATACGTAAACAAGGAGGGCATGCTCAGTCTGTCAGATGCAGCAGAGTGGTTGAGTAAGAAAGGTAGAGAATTCACCCCGGGTCTTGTAACATGAAGTGTGCTGGTTTGTAACATGAAGTGTGCTGGTGATCTTAACTGGAGTGTTTCAAATGGAGGCAAAGGATCAGAAAGCCTTATTGACATGGGTTTATTTATTTATTAATTTATTCATGGCTTTTTTCTGGTACC